GGGGGGGGACTTTCTCAAGAATTTGCATGAAAAGGTGGAGTATGGCCCTTTTCTTCTCATTTCTTTAATTTGATGTGATCTTCAATCTTAATTGCTAGAAAGATATCACCTTCTTTTCACTTATGTCTCCTCTTTTGGCTGTAAGTTCTTTGCGGTCTTGAGTTTTTTTACTACAAGGGAACATTGTTCATAAATTGTTTGGTTAATGTGTGAAACTGTTCAAGAAGGAAACAGAGGAAAAGGAAACACTGACCAATAAATTGGTCAATGCAGACCATGGTTCTTAAGTCTTTCAAGAGCTTAATTGCTTTCTCCAAATAAAGTATAATACAACTACAAACGAGGTTTTCTTTTTTCCTCTTATGAAGTTTTCCTCCTCTTTTATGGTATCATCACATGCATGTAAGAAGGTTAAGGGCGAGTTTTTGGTTTATCATCGACCAATAAAAGAAGATGGGAAGTTTCCTACTGAAAATTAACCAAAAGAAAAAAAACATATGGTAATTTTTTTGGAAATTCTGTGGCTTATCTTATGGAAAATTGGAAATAGAGGGTTTGCTTTCATGTTAGAGTATATATTGTCTCAATTTTTTCACTTATCCTAAGAAAATGCTAAAAGATTTTGCATTTTTCACCAACTTTTTTGTTCATCACAGGGGATATTAAGCAGTCGTTTCGATGAAATCCTTGATTTACCAAGAGTGAAACCTCAGTTTGTGATTGATTTGGTCACCAAATTTTGCAGTGATGCTGAAAATTCTATAGCAGCATTGATCAGATACCTGTACTTCCCAAACAATCTTCACAGCTTTCTCTTAGTTAAACATTATTATTTTTCTATTTTCTAAACTGATTTCTGAGCAACTGATCCGGTCATGTCTCCAGCAATGAACCTGATATCAACTATCCCAAAGTTATCGACCGAGCTCACCAGATCAAAGGCGCTAGCTCTCGGTAACCTGTTCTTTACTTCCTTGATGTCGAAATCTATTTGAAACTTGATTCTCTGTCTTTCCTATTTACTGCCCTTTTCTGTTGAGAATTTTCCATTCTAGACATCAATGTGCATGGAATTTAATACATATTAAACCATGTAGGAAGCTCTATTTAATAACAGGGAGCATTCTGTACTCATCGGATCTTTCGATTTCATCGCATGTTTGGTTTCTATCCAAAACGAATGGACTTTCAATTTACAGAATAGAATTCTAGAAAACAACTTTTAGTAAAGATTATCAATAAACTTAGCTACGCGCACGCATGTCTTATAGCACTTCACAAAATGATGGAAGCTACAGAGATGAGAGTATGCATTACCTGTGGCCGGAGCATAATTTGAAACATCAACTGCAGGTGATTATATAGAATGTCGGAAACCACCGTTTCTCACTGTCCAAAACATTATGAAGTATTATATTCATTGGCAGCTAGAGACTTCGTCGACAAACAATTATGTCATCATGGATGCTAACATCTGATCCTTGATGATTCAGTCTGTGCATACACAAGATTTTGATCACTTGCCATTAAAGTGTGCTTATAACCTGTGCTTTTACACTGGTATAATTCATTCAGTACATCACTTTTATGTTGTTGGGGAACCAAAAATATAGAAATCAGTGTGTGCCTGTGTTCAATCATCTTAGAAGTAGAGCAATAAAGACAGACATGTGTAACCAAAGGGTAGAACTTAATTTTAAGGTGCTAAGCCAAGTAAAATTCTGACCTGCAGTCTTTCGATGGATTTGTGTGGATTTTTGTGAAATGGTACATGCGAGAATCATAGCAATACTATCTTCTATGGTTCGGGTTCGAGCTAGTTTGGGTATGGATACCTAACCAATACCCTATAGATACCTAGAACTCGATCGGCTCGGGTTTGGTTTATATCTGATAGGGTTTAGTTATGGTTCGGATACATTTTTTGCAAGACTCAACCCGTGGATACCAACGAGGAAATGCCATTAAAATTTACTGGCACTTGATCCTGATTGATCCATTTATTGTAGACTGAATCTTAATCCTCTGCATTTGGTGTTACAGTATTGGTGGCCATAGGATGGCCCTCGCTAGTCGTGAAGACAAGGACATGGACAAGGACAGGTATGATAAGTGCCCTGCTCTCATTTTAGAATCATGAAAGTTAGTAATACATTCACCTCGTTTTATTCATCATCTTTTATAATTTCATATTGACTAATTTCAATTGTTCTTTCCTAAACATGATTTTATAGCAACAGTATTTTAATTCAGCTGTGACTAACTTTAATTTTTAAATTGTTCTTTCCTATACCAGCTTGAAGGATAAATCCAGTGATATATGAGATCTAATTCAGGTTGAGTTTTAAATTAAACCGGATGATACTAATTTAATTGACCCGATAGATTAACTCGTGGTCCTGTCAAAACCTAGTTTGATTTTTTTTATTTTTTTTAAATGATATTATTTAAATATTTAAAAAAAAAAATATTGAAACAATACTATTTTAGATTAGATTAAATTAATTTATCAAATTTATAACATGAACCTATAAATGAGTTTCTGTGTAGATCTAATAATTTCAAGAAGAAAACAAGTGGTACCTTGTGGTTTGAGTTATATGATCTGCTCTCCCATATTTTTTTTTTTATAGCTTAGTCATGTTGTGGCAAAAATATATAGTCCTAGGTTATTAAAAAAACATTCAATGATGCATCATTTGATGTTCATCCCCTGGTGATGCTGGAACCCAGGATACGCTTTCTTTGTCCTTTGTTAAAAGCTCTCTCATTTTTTTCCAGGTGCTTTGCAGCTTTTTGCAAGACCAAGGATGAATATCAAATTTTAAAGGAGGAGTTCAATATCATCTTGCAAGTAACGCTTAGGAAAAAGAACTACCAGCCATGTATTTTCTTCCTTACTATTATCACTATATTACTGTTATCTAGGTCCTTCAGTAGCTTCTTGGCATATTCTTGATGAACACTCTAGGTGAAATGCTTGGTGAGAACATGATAGCAAGATTAGGTTTAGCAATTCTAGAAAATCTCTCTATTCCAGATCTTGTTGTAATCCTTCCAAATTGGAACCTCAAGACTTCTCAAAGCCAATTAAATCACATTCTAATTTCAGCCTTATTTTGAGCATTTAGTTGGTTGCCCATTTCAGGGCTATTTTCCCATCAGTTCTCCGGAGGATTTATTTTCCCCTAGAAGAAATGAGGTCAAAATGTATAGTGAAGGATTGCATGGTACCTCCAATGTGCATGCTCTGAAGCATAAAGTAGGAGGCTAGCTATAGGGTGCCATCTGTTCAAAGAGCACGCAATTCATAAGATTCAAATAAACACGAGGATTTAGTTGGCTCGTAAGATGACTCCTACTTGTGTGCTTTCGATTAGTCTTGATCATCGTTGCTTGTTGTATTGTTTATGATTTTTCCAAAATATTAGACTTTCATTATACATGTAATTATTCATCATTTGATAATGGATGTGGACACGGCGATATGTGATTTCTGGTTAATCTAAAAAAGGCCACCAATAGAGCCCTGAAGTGTCCCAGCTACTCCGCCACATGACTCCGGTGGAATGAAAATCCAGGTCAGATTGATTGTATCTGAAATGGGCATGTAAATGAATAGTTAATGGAACTCATAGGGAGGTTTATTTTAGATTATTAATATTCTTTGTTGAGTATCAGTATTTTTGCAAATTTAACATGTTTTTTTGTGGCAAAATACAAGGATATAGCCTGGTTACTTCCATGTTCTTCACATAGCGTTGCTTCTTTCTTCGGAGGTAATCATTGACCAAACTAGTAGGAGGAGCGAGCAATGCTCGAGAGAATGTTTTCTTTTAATCCCTTTTATATGCACAACATTCCAACAACAGCTTAAATCCCTCAGGTAATTTGGTGACACGAAAACATTATTGCTGCACTGACTGGCCATCCATATCTGGTGTTTGTGCGTGACCAAACCAGACAAAACAATAATTTGAAAACTTCAAAAAAAAATTGAAACAAAAATAATTAAAAAAAACTATAATTTTACTCATGCAGTGAATATTTGAGATTGAAATGCAAAATGTATTTTTTTAAATATTTCTCACTTAAAAACATATTAAAATAAAATATTCTTAGTTTTTATTATTATTCTTAACATTATCTCATTAAAATTATTTTAAAAAACACTAAATTAACATCTCTCAGGGCAAACTTGTTTTACGAGTTAAATACACTTTTAAAAAACACGGAAAAATAATCTTTAAAAAAGCAACTAAACACTAGAAACCATCGCACTACCATAGACAGTACTGTAGATTGAGACCACTACATGTCGACTATTCCTTGAAAATATTACAAACACTGGTGAAAGATTCGAATTTGCACCGTTCCCATACTTCAGAAGTCTTTCCTCACCATGGTCCAGTATTGTATAGAGCCCAGGTGAGAAACCAGACTTCAAAATGTTAGGTCAATTGGAAGAGTTTAAGCTTTAAAGGACAGGAATCTACAAGCAAACATCAGACTACATGACATTTGATAAATCCTTGCTGCTTAAAAATGCACCAGGAAAAGCCAGCAGACGTGCAAAAAAATCAACTACCCAGGAAAACAATTCATATAATAAATCATCAAGAAAGAACTTTGGTGCTGGTTTCACCGAATACATATCCATAATTTAATTTAACACCCTCAAAACATTTTTTGTTTCCAGCAAAATGGTGCTTAACGGCAGGCCTTTTGAGTTTCTAATGACTTGTACGATTTGCTACTTGCTAGGGTTTTGGAGGCAGATTTTGAAATAATATGTTATCCGGCACAAAAATAAACCCACAAAACTTTCAGACTTGGCAAAAGCCTCGAACCAACTATTGATACAACAACAATCAACACTTCCAGCAAACAAACAGAAAAGAAAATAACAAGCACACGATAACGGTAATCCAAAATTAACAATTATATTAAAAACATTTTAACATTCAATTATCTAAAATCCAAAAATCGTTCGAGCCCAAAACAAGGTCTTAATATCATAATAGCAAACTACAAATAAAAACTTAGGCAAAAGAAGACCTCTTCGAAACTAAATCTCTTAATCGAACAAACTGAAGCCCATATCCTGCAAAAAAGACAGCAATAAAACATTCCCTTCAGTAAAAAATAGGCAAGTTTAAAACTAACACAAGCCAGGAAAAATTATAGCAAGAAAGAAAAGGATCGCTTACATCATCAGACTCCTCTTTCTCTTCAACCTTCTCCTCTTTCTTAGCCTCATCAGCAGGAGCAGCACCACCAGCAGCAGCAGGAGCAGCACCGGCAGAAACAGCAACACCACCACCGGAAGGAACGGAAGCCAACTTTTCCCTTCCGGAAGCAATCAGCTCAGTGATGTCCTTTCCTTTGACACTGGACAACAGCAACTCGATCCTGTCATCGTCAGCATCAGCGCCAACTGCAAATCCGAAAAAAAAAAAACAAAATCAATTTATTAAAATACAAGAATCTGAAAACACAAAAATGAAAACCTAATGTGAAGAAGGAAGGAAGAAAGTACCAGATCCGAGAATGTTTTTCAAATCCTCGGCGGTAGGGCAGGTGTTTCCACCGAGAACGGCGAGCAAGTAAGCGGCGACAACCTTCATTTTAGTTAGGAAGAGGCGCTGATAGAAACTAGCAATAGAGGCTGCTACTACCTAGGGTTTTGGAGACAGACGGTAGAAACAGGTATAAGTGTATATGTTTATATCTAGGGCTTGTCAAGGGTGAGATTGTGTGATTAAATCTTGTCCGTTCATTGTTTGTTTTGCCGATTATGTCCCTGGTTTTGGTATTCCTATGTTTGGTTGCAGGGGGAGGAATGTACATATCATGGTTTAGGTAATCACCGTGTACAAATCAAGGATAAGGACCGTCTGGCTGGCATGGATATTGAGGGAGTATTTTTTTTTTCAAATTATTTAAAAAAAAATATTTCAATTTTTTTTCATAATTTAATATAAAATTATTGTTTATGTCGAACAGTACCTAAATAACAAAAAATGCTACTATTTTCTGTATTTTTCATTGTAAGAATATTATATATCTTTTTTAAAACTTACTCTTAAATTATTAAACATTTAATGTTTTTTACTATGGTGGATACTAAACTGTACACCACCAAACACAATATAAACATCAAGTGTTTTTTTTTTAAATCAAAATTTTTTAACTTTTTTAATTATTTTAATATGCTAATGTAAAATAATTTTGTTAAATAAAAAAATATTATTTTAATATATTTATAAACAAATACTTTAAGGTTAATGCACTCTCAAACTCAGTAAAACTTGGAAGGTTGATCGAAGAAACTCATAATTGTAATTGAAAATTAACATTGATTTAATGAGGACACCTTGTCAAGATTTTGGTTTAGTTGTTTCGTTCAAAATCTAGTAACTTGACAAAACAAATGTAGTGGCTCCGAGAGCAAAGTGTCATATAAACTTTCATGACAAATTGCATGGTTTGTATGCTAGCCATTGTCGAGAACAAAGCTGATCTAATCCCTTCTGATGTCCATATCACCTCCACATGAATCACACTGTTTCCTTTCACAACCACTTGTTCTTTTATAGTTGTTACTACTGCTATTATTATTATAACCATCGATTGGTGTGGTCTAGCAGTAAGTGAGGCGAGTGTTCTTATTAGAGCGTCACCAGAAAAACCATCTTCTGGTTGTTGAACTTGGAGCCCGTACATCGTTTTTCACTTCGTTCTTTTTATTCTCGATGCCCTGCGTTAAGGATTCTAACCTTTTTCTGCATATACAGTGAAGAGAAGTCAGACTTTGGTAGTAGATGAGTAGAAATTGGTATCTTATCTCAACAATGATCTGAAAGCATATCTTCTCTCTCCAATCCTTGAGCACTTGACCACAACCCACCAAATCCAAAAATATAATTTTGACATTTCGTAAGAGGGTACAAACATTACTTGGTATCTGTTAGACGACCATGCAAGCTCCATCTCTGGCGAAATCCTTCAATGCCTTCAATTCCACTTGCAAGAATCAAGCGCCTATCACATAAGTGATCTCCAAAGATGAGTAATGATTCCATATAAGAAACCAGATATGAGAAATATACATGACATGTATATTGTAGTTGCAATATACATGGACGTTATTAATTATAACAGCTATAAGGCCAAATTGTACTGACATTATAGTGTTAGTCATGCTCTTATTAAGAAAACTTTCACAGGCATTGATGACCCCAATTTTGCGCTCACTAAAGATGTAACTTCTCTAAACAACTACTCAACATAACCATCAATCCAGATTATACCTCTCCAAAGATGTAACTTCTGATTCAAGCTGAGAAGCTCTTTCCTTTGCTTCATCTATAGGCATTGATGACCCTAATTTGCGCTCACTGTCTTGTAGGCGTTGCCTTAGTTCCTTATCCTGCAACTCAGGTTTTCAAACAAACATCAAAATGTTGATATCAACAGACCTTCAAAAATCTGCATTTTACAAATTATATGACTACCAAGAAAGAGTACATCTAATAGAAACAGAAGTGAAAAGACAATCAATCTCACCCTCCTTTCAGCACATTGTCGATACAAAGCAAGCTCATCTTGACAGAAAGGCTCAATATCATTGATCTGCAAGCCTACAACATAAAGCAGGAAGATTTAGTTACAAATGAAGTTGTTTTCCCCGTCAGTATGGCATTAAGTTAGCCTCCAACACAACAAAAAGATGGTCAATGTATCACCCAACAACAGAAAATCTCATATTACAACTAAACTTGATTATACACTACAGAAAATAGGTAAGAGAGAGGGACGTCTATCCAACAGTCAGTCTGTGGAGCTACCACATAGAACCAGAACAGACCCAGACAAGTTGAGTACTACATATGCATAGGCTTACAAAGACCTTTAATACCACTAACTTTAGTCATCTTACAAAATCAAGAAGTCATGCTTACAGCTGTTTTGTACAAAGACTCTGGTCAGATGCCATTAATGAGCACAGAACAATTTGGCCAAACAAAACTTAGATTGATTGGAAGGAAACGAAAACTTACATAAGAATAGGTTCCTTAAAATCCCATCACACAAATCAACACCTTCAAGAACATGAGAGGCAATTTCAGGTGGGATGATTGGGGATGGTGGCCCCATCATTAGATCATCTCCAACCAATATAGTTTCATCCATGGTCGGCTGTGCATCGACTGAAGACCACAAGAGATTGCAACAAATTGAGAATATATCTCAGTTTAAAGTTTTTAAAATATTTATTCTTAATATGAAAAAGGAATGCGATGAAGCATAACTTAGGTAGCAATTTGCAGTTGACTTCATAGTTGGAAGAAAGAAATCATTATGAACAAACAAGTAACTCCAAAACCCTTAATGACCAAATTGGAAATCTTTTATATATGCTGAAATGAATGGAACTCAAAACATATGCCTGCAGGCATCACATGCGCATGCAAGTGTGAATTTAAACAGATTAATGATTCGACAGTTTTTAAACAGTCCAGTTGAGCTAGAAAGTCATATTTTTAAAAATCGACTGGCAGAATCCATGCCAATTCTGGTATACTGGAAAAAAGAAAACTTCATCTCAATAAAGTTTCAACTTGTTTGAAGAGATTTGGCACTCGTATATAGTTTTTACTGATTATTACTATGTCCCTAATAGATCCTTTGACACTATATCAACACTGAGACTTTCTCCAAATATTAGTGAGTTGATTTTTTTATCATAAACAGAGCTATAACGCCATTAACTTGCTTATTTTTTTCAATAGCTCTATCTGGATAGTTTAACATTAATATTACTTCTATAGAATCTATAACTAAATTTACTTCGCTCACAGCATATTCCAACAAAATTCCCAAACAAAGTAGCTGTTCAATTATCACTTTGAAATCTGTTTCTTTTCCTTGTTTTTGAGACCACAGACATGACCAGTTTCAACTTCTCAGAAGCAAGACTGACAACACAGAAGCTAGAACCCATATCTTCACATCCAATTTACCGAAGAGAAAAAATATGAAAAATCATAAAAGCATTTCTTCATACATAGATTCATCACACAGAAAAGAGGAAAAACAAAACAAAAGGAAGCAGGAGAGCTCACGTACCATCCATAATTGCTTTTAACTCTTTTGTCTTCAACCACCAAAAAATAAATATGTTCAATCAAGTATCAATACCTGTAAACCACAAGAAAGAACAAAAACAAGAAAAGAATTAACAAGTCACGAGAAAAAATGCCCCATAACCGCAGAGCAAACTCTACAAAGCTAGATACGTGGTTAATAAATCAAAAGTTAAAGAACGGAATTCCTCGTTTACATCAAAAAACAAGATAAGAATGATCAACATGCAAATGGGGTGCTTAGATTGAAAGACAACCTCATTGCGGCATTTCATCAAACAGTGGCAGTGCAAGAAACTAAGTGATAAATTTTATTCAACTACGGCCATGTCGAGCTCATTTTTAGTGTATTGAAAGCCATGAATGCATATAATCCATTTCAAATTAAAATGAAACTCGTTTTTATGGACTTACGGTCAACTAGTGCTGAGGGAAAGAGGGAGCACGTACAGGTACTGTCAGTGATTGATTTTACGAACGGAAAAAATTGAGACGAAAAAAGAAAGCTGAGATAAATGGGCCACAGATAAAAACAGGCCCAATAAATTATACTGGCTCAATATACAAATCCAGTTCGAAGCTCCAAGAGCGATATATTAAGCCCAAAAGTGTTAATAAGGCCACCCAAAAGCATTTTCAATTTTTTTTATTTTTTGAAAACAACTCCATCAACATAATTGTCAAACATGGTGAGCGGAGCTTACTCTTGGTCTGATTTCATTTTAAATCAATTTAAGAGTTTTAATTTGCAAGGTTAACCTAGCAAACTTTAAAAAGGCCCGAATATATTAATTCTAGTAATTTTAAAAAAATTATTTAAAATAATATTATTTTATTTTAAAAAATAAATAAAACAAATTATTAAAAAAAAAAAAAAACATTTCAACCACAATGCCACACCACCCAAAAGTATAAAATGCAACCTATAATAAACTGTCACCAAAAATTATAAATTAAAATACCTTGCCCAAGAATTTATTATTATCTTCTGCTAATCTCTTTTCAGCAGCAGACCAGAGCCAGCCTAGTAACATATTTTTATGCAAACTTGACAAGATCCTGATCAAAATAATATTATTATTGATGACGCAAAGCTGAATGTTTTAAAATCCTGTGTCATTTCAACTCTATTAAAATATACAGAAATCATAAATATTACATAACGAAACCTTGCAATGTACAGAATTCACATTGATACACAAAATGATCACAGCACTTTCAAAACACCAGTGACGGAAACGTGCATGCAAAATTCATATGCGCCTATACTCATCTCCGCAGTCGCCAATCACTTTTAACAGATCCTTCCCTTTTTTGGAAACTTCCTGTATGCTGTTCATATCCTCCTCGTCGAGGACCAGTGAAAACACAGCATTGGCGTCATTGATGTGTTCAGCCAAACCGAGTCGAACACCTATCATGGATCCTGCCACTGCTGGCTGTAGTTATACAAGACATGCCAGAAGAAAAATCCTTGGTCAGCGAGAAATTCTACCATCAAAGAGAAATGAACACTTAGGAGGTGCTGAAATATACCTGATCTAATATGTACTTCACCGCTACAGTTGGAATGGAGACCCCGTGTTTAGAGGCTATCTTATTAAGTGTACGCAGCAGACTTTGGAAGAGACTCCATCCTCCCCAAGCATCAACCATCTGTCATGTATTTTGCACAATTTTATGGCACGAATCTAAGCATACTATTACAATGGTAAACATTCAAAGCTTTAAATCTCTCCCCCTCTCATACATCATAGGGTTGCAGCGAAAATAATTTTGGAGAAGTCTTATCTGAGAAAAAAGAGCGGGTAGATGATGAAAAAATCACAAATCCAAGACTTTTGTTCCTCAAATTGTGACCAACTTCCAAAGAGAAGTAAATCTGACATTTTAGTAAACTCACTAAACAAAAACAGTTTCCTTATTAAAGGTGGTCTTATTTCACGCTACCAAAGTAGCATGTCTGCTCCTCACAACAGAAGTAGATATGAACCGTTATTTTTCCATGGACAAAATAAAGCCAGTATTCAATGGAGTTCTTATCTCTTACCCTTTTGTACTTCTGCAAGGAAGGAGTATTTAATGGTGGGGCAGAAAAAGGAATGGATAAGTTAGTGTCAAGGAATTTCTTAGATAACAGTCCACCCATTACCGTCCCATACCTGCATTCATTAATTATCCAAGCAATGCTCAATTGTACAGCAGATAATGTAAATTCTGTTAGCAAGCCAAAAGGCTAATACAGAATATTATTTGTGCAATCATATTTCTATGCGTGAGCAATGAAAGAGGGACAAACAGACGTGATAAGTTTAACTCCAGTAAGCTGACAAAGCTCTGCCATTTTTTGTTGAGGACGCATGTCCACAAGTGAATGTTGCACCTGATGGAATCACAATATACTAGTTTACATGAGCTACAAGCTACATTAAGAGATGGGAGTGACAAAAACAAGAAATTGATCGATAATACCTGATTGCTGACAACAGGAATTCCATTTTCTAAAATTATTTGTAATCTCTCTGTGTCGAAATTTGTCAAAGCAACAGTCTTTATTTTACCTGCATGCAACTTGCTGAAGTAATGCAATCAAATCAAAGATATATGGACTCACGTGCCCATAAGAATGCAAGATAAATAATTAAGCCTTATTTGAATTGCCAAAATAAATAACTATAACCTTCTTCCTTTAGGTCATTCAAGTGTTTAAGGGCATCAAGGTAGCCAGGATTAGAATAGTCCCACCTATTTAAGATAAAAATGAAAATAGAAAAGCACAAATCATTAGTTTCAGAAAAATTCAACAATATCTAACAGGTATCAATAGAAAGTGCTGATGTTGAATGTCCGAAATCTAGAGAAATGTTGTCCAAATACAATAGAAACAAAAGAGCAATACCAATGAAACTGAAGCATGTCCAAGGATGACACATCCATCCTCTTCCTTGAAATGTCAATGTTCTGCCTGACATAGCTACCAGTCATTTTAACGGGTGGTGGAACCCACTTTGTAAGGCTGCATTGCATAATATACGGAGGTAAGCATGAACTCCACAGTTCCCTTCCTTTATTCTAGAGTGAACATAAATTCTACAATATCCTTCCTATGTTATACATCAATAAAATTCTTGTCCATGTAAGCCAAGATAAGCACCAAAGTTAATTCTTCCCAACTCAAAAATAATACATGCCAATTAACAAAGTGGTTATGACTCACCCTCTAACCCTATCCAGGACTTCTGGTGGACGCTCTCTGCGAATTCGGTTGATAAAAATGCCATAGAGATCTTCAGCAGGCCCATCTGCAGAGTCATAAGAACTGAAACAATGAGGGACCCAATTCTTGGATGCAAATATTAAAAATAATAGACTGCCAATATCATCATTATACCATAATGTATGTATATCTATAAAACATTTCTGTTTATCCAGTTCATAAGCAGTAAAGTTGCTGCTGACTCAAGCCAATTAAATTAAAACTTATTTCCAAGTCTAAGCATCAATTGCAATCTTTGCAACACACAAAAAAACAGTATTGGAGGACTAGCTACTTCTTTATAAGCTCATTACATATATCAGCCATATCAAAAGTAGTCAATCCAGCATCAGCATATTTGAGCATAGCATCAACGGCGTTGTCACGATCAATCTTGCCCCAACCACCACTTGTTTGCCACATCCCATTAACAACCCTACACATATCTAATGAGTCTTTTCCATTCTTCACCACCACAATTCTCCTGTTATCCTCAGTCAACACACATTGCAATGGTTTCAAACTGGTTACTTTTCTTACATCACCAACTCTTCTACTTTCCAGTTTCATTCCATTAAAGCTGAAGCTGCTAAATGGTTGGTATAAAAGCTCTGCCATTTTCAATTGCAAAAAAGCCTAATATCCAAAGAGACTAAAAAGATTACAAAAGGGACTTTTGTTTTTGCTTCTTTAAACCCCATAACTCCGTCTCTTCCCTTCCAGTGGTTTTCTTTCATCTTATCTGCTTCCTTGTCTTTGCTTCCACCATTGATTCTATAGAAAGGTCTTTGCAATTATGAGAGGAAGTGGGGGCATTTTGGCCAAAGCATGTCATTTAAACGGTTACATTGTTACAAATAGAAAGAAAAAAGTGGATAATGCGCAAATACTACTGCAACAAACAAAGTAAACTAAGAAAGCCGACGTGGCAAGCAAACGGGCCAGGACTTTCCAAGCCAATGAGAACGCACCACGTACATAAAAAAACCACAAAACAAGGGCAAGGGTTTCGGATAATTTACAGTGATCGGCCATATCGAAGGTGGAGAGACCAGCGTCAGCGTAGCGAAGCATTGCCTCGACGGCGTCGTCCCGGTCGATTCGGCCCCAACCGCCGCTAGTCTGCCACATACCGTTAAGGACTCTGCATATGTCAAGCGAGTCGTTCCCATTCTTCACCGTGATTCGCTGAGCCCCGGCGTCAGTTGTGGTTGTTGTTGTCGTCGGCGCGCAGCACCTGACTAGATTGAAACTGCTCCGTCTTGACTCGGGACGAGCTGCAGTTGTTATAGTGAGTTTGGGGACAGCGTGATGTAAGGACGCTGCCATCTTTTTAGCGTCTACAATGTTCCAGACACGGAAGCGAAGATGATAGATAAGGTGTTCGGCGCTCAGAACGAAAAAGAAAATATCCTATATTCGTAATTGACTATTATACCCTCAGTTTCCACGAAAACAAAATTTATCTTGTATATAATATTTGCACAGAAGACGTGTATTCCTCAAGGTTTTCTTTATTCTGGGGAAATGAATGGTAGAAAATCTAAAAGTATATTGAAGCTTCTCGCCATTATCAATTATACTTGTTAGAGAACCTGAGGGATATGGAGTTGAGAGGAACGAGAGGTGATGAGTTTGATATCAAAGCGAGTGTGAGTATACTGAGAAGGAAAGTGAAATCATTACCAAATGGGGTAAAGTTCAAGCCAGATGAGAGGAGATAGTCACTGAGACTAAGCAAGTCCATCGTGGTCAAAGCCCAAGTGGAGATGAGAACTGTTCTTGTCAGACCCGATTAGAAGACCACTCCGTAAATAAACAATAATTAATTTGACCTGGTCAAGTCAGGCTAGATGAATAAATTTACCAAGTTAACTACGTAATTTTTATAGATCAATATTTTCTTTTCAATTCAATTTAAAACCGTTTCCGAATCAAGTTTTAGATTAGAGTTTGTCATGGCATCCGCTACGCCAAACGAATTTATTAGATAAGAACCGAGTTTTCGTGCTGATGGAGATCCTACTCTACGAGATGCTCATGAAAGCCAATCAAAGTCCATTTCCGGGCCTAAATAGAGAGAAGCATCAAGTTCCTGCGTCAGACAGAAGCCTGTGGCATGAGGAAATTCAGCATGATTATTCGCATTTTGCAGATCAAGAATCATTTGAATTTTCTGTGAGAGACTTATTCAGCGCAGTCCTGAGGAAGGACGTGGAACAGAAAGACAAGATGGCAGGAGTTCATCCACATGCATCTTTCCCTTTCCCCGTAGGTTTGACAGAATAAATCCGAACACCTACCAACCTGCGCGTGAGTTAATAGGTCCTAACCTCGGGCAAAGCTCATGTATTGGAGTTTGAAGACCCCGAGTATCTTCTTCGATAAGCTCTTTTCTGGATCAAAAAAAGATTTAAGCTGCTATCTTGGTGCAATGTGACAGGCACCATCCTCGTAAACTGTGTTTCCCTAGAACAATGCGAGAAAAAGATACCCAAATACTTACAGTGATTGTGTCTCTGTCATGAATTGTCTCATTAACCAGCCGAAAGATGTTATGTTTCTTTGTTCTGATGGAATCATCACAAGATTCTCCCAAGAAAACCAAAACCTGGCCGATCTCTTCAATACCCAGGGGTGGAATATTGCTTTCAATATTCTCGAGTGTTCTTCCCAAGCTACTGAGAGAAGTAGAGTCATTTTACAGCAGCAACTGGGCAACTATGAGGCAAACTTATTTTAGCACTCTATGGTCATTCATTTCAGTGTTATCCACATCAATCCATAATAGAGTAAGATAAATAATGTTGTCCGATCTTGTTTAGCAGAATAATATATGGAAACATCAGGTCAGGTTCAACCTAGTCGAACCTCACCCCCTTGTTAGACCCAAAAAAAGCATAATATATGGAAACAAATTCTTTTATGTTAACGGACAACTTTCTCAACGAAATGAGTATATTATTTATTAGTGCAAAATAAAGATGAGAATCCTTCCTAATACAGCATGCCATCCACTAATATACAACTAAGTACAAAGCAACAACAGCTATAAGAACAACCTGATCTTAAATCCACAAGCATCACTCCTGCATGGATAGGTTATCGAGAAGTTTTCTCACAGACACATCGAGGTGAACTTGACAAGACAGAAATCTACTTTTTATGTTTGCTCTCAAGTCGCATAATCTTCCGCTCCATCTACAAACCATTGAGGCCCAGAAAAAGCAACAAGCAGAAGTGTTTGTTAAATGCAGGCAACAAAACATTTGTGCACCATACTTTATTACAAAAGGGACAATACTGTGAAGCAGAAATTATTGTGGAGAACCAAAAACTTGAAAAAATCTGCATGTGCCAAGAACTTGGGGAGTGCTTGGTATAATTATGCATTTCTCTCACTCTCTCAAAAACAACTGAACGATAAACCAAAGTCCTGTTAATGTTGGTGTTATATGTTAGTTTTTTATGTTTTAAGTAAAATGCTGCCAAGAAATGACGCACATTTTGCCACATGCAATTCGATACCTAAAATGCAACAAGCCAGCAATCTTATCCCACGTGCCTTGAAAACCATTATAGGAAACTATTCTTCCTCAATTAAAAGTGCTGCACACAGCCACTCAAAACTGAGACTCGGGATTTTGAGATTGATTTGATTATGATGCAGTCCTTTGTTGCCTGTTATCCTCCTTTAGCAAGAAGTTTTATGCAATTGAGTGGCATTACAAATGTATCTCTTTTTTCCATGTTGAACTTCTACCAAAGCCCAAAAGCAAAACCTATTAAAGACTCAAACATGTTTCCAACCTGTGGTAGCAAACAAATCAAGCATTTATCAAAAGTGCTGCCAACTTAAGCAGCAAGAAGTCTAAAACATACACGATTTAAGGAAATAAGAGTTTTTGAAATCTTAATGAAAAAAGACAATTGATCAATTAAAACATAAGTGAAGCACACAATCAAATATTATCGTGGATCTAGCAGATACTTAAGCATGTGAGATATTTGGAAAGGGAGTTTGAATGATAATGATGTACGATTATGCAGTACTCATGAGCTTTTTAGTGATTCGTAGAACCAAAGTGAACCGGCTTATGGCATGCACCACATTCAGGAATTCTAGGATCTACAATATAGACAACCAACCAAGGTTGTGCTTGCAGAAAGATGAATTTCAAATCAGTAAATAAATATTCAAGTTCATCGTCAACAAAAAGTGGTGTATTATTTTAGTAGTTATAGTATTGGATTGTTATTTTTATGTAATATTATGATCTACATTCAATTATTACTGTCCCTTTTGATTTCAATCATTGAAGATTTTTACAGTAAAACAATTTGCTAAAAATTGCTAGCCCTGTTTTACAGTTTCAGCCAGGGTACCTTAAATTCATGTTAAATACTGAAAAGAGAAATCGGTTTTGCATTTAGGCATTTTTTTCTTTTCCTTGTGAATAATTGGAAATATGCTTAAATATATAGAATTCTTTTTTACCCATATTCTCCTTTAGGCTGAGTTGCATTTTTCATCTGCCATTATGCATCCAATAAATTAACACTACTCACATAGCAATACTATCGACTCATTCAAAAAATGACATACTTACTATAAAAACTCCACAAGAGGTCAAGGAAACATACCATGAAATCCCAAACAACAATACACAGATATGTTACTTTCAAGTAAACAAGAACTTAAGAGTCCACAAGACAAGAATTAAAATTGCATTACCTGAACGACGACTTCCAACTTGGTCCGAATATGAGCAAATTCATTCTTTATCCAATTGAGGGAAAGGGACAAGCTGAAACGGCAATATATGCAAATACATTGGAGGATAGGAAGTTATTGATCCATATATGAATTATTGAATATAATAAAGATAAGAAAATGATAACCAACAAGAAAATCAAGCATGTCTTTGAAAAATAAGCAGATACGACACAAGTCTAAGTAGCTAGCAAGTTATTTATCAGCCATCACCATCTATCATGTAACATGCAGGGCGCACCCTTCCAACAAATCAATAATTGAGAAGAAAATGACAAAGCGCAGCATGAAAGCCACCTTACTTTCTTTTATCCATCTGACGACAGGCTTGAATGAGATCAGCACATGCAAGCCTCATATGCTCTGCACCCATGCTGTAAAACCAAGAACATTATATCCACCTTTTTAATTCTTTTTATGATAGATGGGAAATTAACTTTCAGCTAGACTAGTGGGACAACAAAGAAACTGTAGGTATATTGGTAAAACCATCTGCACAGTTTATTTTCCTTGAGAAGAAAAATTATAAACTAGCAATAATTTTTTACCATTTACTATCTTTTGTGCTGAATATAAGTGACTAATAGCTCTCGTTATTTTTTAACCAATGATTATCTCACATTGCTAGATTCCAACATTTTAGTTTGTGGATGTTAACACAGACAAATCATATGAACATGCATAAGACAGCAGTGCATTTATCCAAACATCATCCCACTTGTAAATCTTAGGGTTATTGCCGCCTTTTAACTAAAAGGAAGAATGAGTCGTGATAAATGTATATGACAGTGGAACTCTAGAGCATAATGCATGATGAAAAAAAGGAAACTACTAGATACTTGCTACTTCTGAACTTTAATGAACTATCATTATTGTCGTTTAATTTTATTTTTTTTAATCCAGGAACCAACATATAAGAAGGTTCACTCTAGCTCATTTCCACATGACACCATTCATGATAAATTTAAAGTTCCATGCAAAAATAAATTATCACATAGGCCTAAAAGTGCTAGCCTATTGTTTCAGCTAACCATTATTCTTAGAGATGGTGCTTAAACCATTTAGATCATTATGTTGTTTTAACTAAAGAAAAAGAATCAAATTGGCTTTTCTTTTTAATTGGAGTGTTGCTTAATACAACTACATATACATATTTGGACATCTCATAGCATACATAGGAAATATAAAAATGCTGAATAGAATAGTCAATGACTATAATTTGCATATATGATATTCATCATTACGTGCATGCCATATACATCCATGAAGACAAATAAAAAAACATAAAGGTAAGAACACCTAATGCCAGCTTAATAAAAGTAAGAGACTGATAGCAAACAAGTACAAATAAATCATCACATGTAGGAGCTACTTCTGAACCAAGTTATTATTTATGCTCTTTACTTGAAAGGAACGGGAAAGAATGTAGTGTTAAGAAAATATTTCATGAAGAAACAAAAAGTATTGTGGCCTTGCCATAGAAGAAAGACAATATAAAGCATGCTAAGAGCACTTGAAGGTCCAGTGACCGCTTGAGAAGCAAAAATATACAATCGTTTGATGAATCATGCTGAACAAGTTATCTACCATAGCAAAGGGAGGAACCGCACATGAGAGAGAGAGAGAGAGATAAGCACATGAAATTTTCTTTCCTCGTTCACCACTAAAAGTAAACAATCAACCATCAGCACCCGCTACCCCAAAGATTAAAAATAGAAAGTGCACGATTGAAATGAGGAGAAAACATAAATATGTCTTTCCTAATCAGATTAATAAATGCACACATGTTGTGTGCTTTTGCATCACCAAGGAAAGTCCCAGTACCCAGGTCTCGATCAAAGGCAAGAAACCATTAGCTCAGCCTTTTAAACCATGTTCAAACAGCTGCTTTTTTACTCTTAATATTTCCTTCTTTCAGTATATCTAAACTCCTTTTCACTAAAAGCAACCTATCTACAAGTGCACCACGTGTAGCCAACCAATGTCAAACATACACTTCATTCCAGAAATTGTTTCCTATTTTCTCTATTTATCTGACATGATTATTACTCTTGTTATCCAATAACTACCCTTACACAGAATATCAAATATCATCTTACAGGGAGCTTCTCTCCTCTAATTGCTGGGCTAGGGCAGCCAACTTAGAAAAATCAACGTCAGGAAGATCACTGCAGGTATATAAAAATGAGTTAAATAACCCAAATTATTCTAGGAAGTCATCTGCCATAACTGATGCTTTGCAAGTTGAGTTCTGGGTATAGTGTTACATGTAACTTCCAAGTTCAAATAAGATTGACTCCACATCAATGCAGTACGTATTGATCAATCGCACAACATGATCAGGTTCCTCCTCTGTTTTCAAAGTTTGAATATGACAGAACTGAGCATTCACAATCCCCTACAAGGAATATAATAAAAACACATCATCAGCACTGAAAACCTTTCCAAACAAATAAGTCCTCTGCATGACACCAAATTTAAATGGCCTCAAATCACAACTACAAATTACTATGAAATCAGAAGCAATCACACAGAATTGAATGAACCACTTAAGAACATGTCCCATAAATCTTTATGTATGTATGCATATGAAAGTATTTATAAAAAAATACACTATTTTATGAACAGGTTTAGAAAACTGAGAGAAGATCAAATAGCCTTCAATCTTTATTTTTCCTCCTTTTTCTCTTTTTTTTTGGCCAAAAGCCCCTGAATGCATTGAAGACATAACAATAACATCCTAAAGAGTAAAGTGAGGACAAGCATAGGATTAGCAAAAGAGATTCTACAGAAAAGCAGTAAAACCATTTGACACCGTTACCTCATCAAACAGTGACTGCACATATTGTTGGAGCAGTCCTTTAATAATTAACATGGCCATTTAAGATATAGGACACTAACAGAACCCTAAGCTAATGGAATCTGGAGAAGATAGCAAGCTACAGTGACAAGTAAGCAACTTTGCATGAGACACTCCCACAAGAGTGAGGGAGTTATATGCAAATTGAATTGCAGATAAAAACAATGTCAGACCATGAGTTCAGCATGGTACCTTACAGATTTAGCACCTAGACTATGGATATTAACATTTATGCCACTGCTAATGAAACAGACCAAAACAATTGAGTTGCTTCAAATTATGACTTAATATCAGAATAAATACTCTTGATGCATCTAGCAACTGAAATATTATCAAAGAAAGAGAAAACTGGATGTCAAAAAACCCATGAGGTGATAAGGAAGAATCACAATAGTTGATTAATAAAAATGATTTGAACATAGCTACTTTGTGAAAATTTACCTGCTCTGAGGCAATGAAACAGTGGTGTAAGTTATCCAGTTTCAAAATTCAAAGAAACTAGAAGCATTTTCAGTAGGTAATGGCATTTCCAAATGTTCTTCACTCCACTGAGTAGGCCCCATCTCGCTCCTGCTTGACACGCTGACAGGTGGGTCCCATCATTCATATTAGGTGGAAGTTGTATGGTACATAAAGCCAATGCCACATGGCAAAGCACAAGATATGTGTAACCTGTCAGGTGCTTCCATTCTACTTCCTCAGCAACACCAAAATCCATGTAGAGCTGGGTGCATTTCCTAATTATAGGAAATTTTTCGGGATAATTTACAACTCAAGAATCATCTCAACAAATTAAATATAGTGGTCCCCTGATAATCCATGAAAAAAGTACAATCAAATATTTACTTATAAAAGATACAACTCATAAGCACCCACTGTTCTTCGTAGCTAGGTGGCGCCACCAGCCATTCGGAGGTGGAATACAAGTTCAACCTACACAAACAAAACAAAAACTTGGAAGCATGAGTAGGCTGCTCCCTATTCCGTAACCTATTGTAGCAGATAATCGACATTCTGTGACCTATTATAGCCAACTAATCAGCAAAGAATTTATCACACTTTACCTTTATTAATCACATCAAGATAATGTCAACCATCCAAATTGACAAGGGACATCGAATTTCATTAACATGCCAATCAAACGGATCCTTCATGAAAAAACAAAACAAAAAGAAACTATGCAAAACAAAAAAGTGGTTTCCAATGCTCGCGTCATTTTAGACAACATGTATGCAACCATATATACTGAACTTACAAGTCTACAACGGACGACATTATAACTGAAATTCAACAATTAGTAACAGCTCAGTAGTAAGCACTCCTCTTTCCCTTTCTAGGTTTCGAAAAATTCTACAGCCAAACTACATCAAATTTGTATGAATCTAACCACCAATATAATCTGAATAGTGAAACAATCAAATAAATTCCCCCGGGGACTATTAAATTCAAGGGATGGCTACCTTGTATAATTAGGCCGTCGGATATGTTAAAACTCACCCTCAAAACAAAAATTAAATCATGCAATCACTAAAGTAGACAAAAGAAACTATCATCGATCACATTAACCAAGGTATTGCCAGTTTTACCAACAATATCATGTACGAGCTGCAACCAATCAGAATTAGCTTTTATCAACCCTGACAAATTATAACTGATTGAATCGGAATCAAAAGACGCAAGCATTTTTAATTTTTTTAAAAAAAACTAGTAACTATTTGTGAAAGAGAACAAAAAAACGCATATTCACAGTACCTGGATAGCAACAAGCTTTATCGACTCGCGGTGGAGAAAGGGAAGAAGAATCGAGCAGCATGAACTCTGCTTGTGAGTCTGCCCTTACATGGAGACTTCACTTCAGCGACAGAGAGAGTGTATATATACTCTCTCTTATTTATTTTATTTTATTTTTTCCCGGGGCTAGAGAATGGAGATAAGGCTGTCATGGTTCAGAGCACTTTATATTTTATAGTTCAGTGAAGGTGAGGCTTCGAGAAATAGTGTAAGAAGAATATTCTACATAGCTGTTTTTAAGCAAAATTTGTTGCGAGAAATGTAGTTCAATGTTCAAACTCTTTATTTTTTACTATGTTAATATGAGAAATAGTGTAAGAAGAATATTCTACACAGCTGTTTTTAAGCAAAATTTGTTACGAGAAATGTAGTTCAAAGTTCAAGCTCTTTATTTTTTACTATATTAATATTTTTTTTATTCAATTTAAAACTTAATTCAAATCATAGGTTTTCTAAATCGTTACACCAAAACAAACCAAGTTTAATAATTATATGCAGTTGCCATTGCTCAAAATTAGTTAAAGGTTGTTTGGTATTATATTTTTATCACTGCTTGGAAGCATTTTAAAACTATATTTGATATTAAAAAGTTTTAAATTGATTTTTTTATTATTTTTAATAATTTTAATATATTTTAAAATTTAAAATAATAAAAATATTTTGATATCCATACCAAAAATATTTTAAAAAAATAAAAATATACTTAAATACCTTATACACATTTAGCTCCGGATACGAGTATAGAGTGTTATATGTCTTAAAATGTTAGCAACAATAGTAGTATTCAAACATCAACTTAGGTACATGAAAACACATAGATATCATTTTGTGTTTTAATTTTTTTAATTAAAATATTTTAGATAAAATTATAATGATTTAGTATGTGTTTGAATTGGAGGTAGTTTGTTTTTTTAGTAAACAACATGTTTTTTTAGTTTTGAAAAATATAATTTATATTTAAAAGGTGTTTTATATTTAAAAAAACCACAATATCTTCAAATCAATTTTTTTTTATTTAAAGAAACCTCATTTTCTGAAAAGAATATTTTATGAATTCAGATAGGTAAATAAAATTTTAATTATCTTAAATTTTTACAAAAAATATATATTCTAATTCAAACTCAAAACTTATTATTCAAATCTTAATTTTTTTATAATCACACCATGCTTATTAAAGATTGTTCAAGCCAAACACACTCTCATAAAAAAAAGCTTTATTATCCACTATCATCTCATAATTTAAATAAAATCACATAAACAATATTAAAACATTTCAAACTATGAGCAAGTCAATATCCATCGATCCATTGTGCATGACCACAGAGCAAGCACGTAAGTTCTATCATTCTCAAAACCCGGACAGCATCAATACTATGAAAAATAAACATCTCTAAAGCTTTAATAGAGGTATCCGAATATTTGGATTTATTTCATAAATTATAAAGGATGCATCCAATGACAGTAGCAGCTTCCAGCTTAAATATGTTCACCACCATGCTCCTCTTGGAGGATGTTCCTCTCTAACTGCGCATGAAAAAAAACAACCAATAAAAAATAAGATCAGTAAATTGTAAACATTTGATGATTAAAACCATGTCCACCTGGTGAGATGAAGAGGGACCTGGCTTTTATTTTGGGTTAAATTTTCTAAAAATATTAATTTATAAATATTATTTTTATTTGATCAACTCGATTGAGAGAATCAGATTATAATATAGTTGAAATTTAGTTTAATTTTTTAAAAATAAAATTATATTGTTTTAACTTCTTTTTTAAGTTGATTAACCTATTAATTCATATTATAACATATCGAGCAAATAACTGGAACTTGGATCAAGTAATGGTTGAATCAAAGGATTAATAACTTTGTTGACAATCTCTAGCAAGAACAGTTCCCTTTCGAAGGAAAAAAAGAGGAAGGTTGAACGAGTTTCGTAAGGATTAAGAATGTATATAACGCATTTAATCCCATTATATAGTGTTTAAACCAAACAAGTTGTTTTAAAAATACTTAAGACGGCCTGTTTAGTCCCATTGTATTTAGAGTGTTAAATCCAACAAGTTGTTTAAAAACAATTAGCGTGCTTAAACTTAAATTCCAGTTTTAACGCCAAGTGATACCCGGAACATGGTGTCAAATTAATTTCTTCCGCAGCTCGGAAAATTCAACATCGGTGGAAATTAAAGACCGATAGCAACTGCAGAATAAAAATTGACAAATTTAACATATTATGCGAGTTAGATACAAAAATCAAGATTTTACCGCCTCATAAAATTATAAAAGGATTAATGTGTTTAATTAGTTCATAATGCTAGATATAAAATATTTGCAAATTAAGAGTTGGAATGTCTATGTTGAGTATAAAAATTCTCACATGCCATTATTATCGCGGGGATCAAGGGATGATACAAGCATATCTCAATCTAATTACTCTTTTCTTGCATGTAGAATCCTTTTCCCTTCCTCTTCTTTCAAGGAAATTCATATTTTAATGAAGGTTATATTTGTTTGTTTGCTTGAAAATAATTTTTAAATTTTTTTTATGATATTTGGTAGTATAATAAAAAATAAATTGAAAAATATTTTTAAGTGTTTGGTTATATCATGAGAAATGAACTAGAAAATAACTTATTAATATTTTATTTTTAAAAATTTTATTAAAATAATGAGAAACAAATCTTACAAATTAAAAGGTTGAATGTGAATGAAATTGAAAAAAAATAATTTTATAAATTATCTTAAAGAAAATAAATAATAATTAAAATAATAAAGATCAAATCTAACAATTAAAAAAATTGAATGATGAAAAAATTAAAATAATAATAATTACCATTTCATAATTTATTTCAAATAAAATAATCACCAATCAAAAGAATGAGGACTAAGTTTGATAGATAAAAAATTTCAATTACAAAATTACAAGAAAAAAAATAAATAATAATTATAAAAATAAAAACCAAAGTTAATATAAAAATCAAATTTTAAGGGATGACATTGAAAAAAATATTCAAAATAATGTATGTATAGTAATTAAAAATTTGAGGACCAAATTTGATATAATTAGTAAATAATATAATATTTTTAAATTTTTTATAATTTTCAAAAAATATTTTCTGCTTAAAATAAAAAAAATACTTTTCTAAAAACTATATCAATTTTTTTATTAGAAAATATTTTTTATTAATTAATTTTTTAATAATAAATAAATATAAAAATATTTTCCGCTAACCGAGGCTTAAAACAATTTTGTTCTCTTGCCTTCTCTCTCTCTCTATATATATATAGAGAGAGAGAGAAGGGGGGTGTATATTCACGAATAATCAAATTAGATGGTTTTATTTCACCCCCCACCCCCCCTCTCTCTATATATATAAAGCAGTTCAATCCCTGATATTGAATTAAACTGATAAAATTAAGATACGAAAATAGTTAGTAAGGTTGAGTAATCAATGATTATAATGATGGAGGGTGGTTTTTGAAGGGTCTTATCCTGATATGTTGGCGGCCGTGGCATTGTTTGATTTGATCCTCGTAGTATGGAAAACTACACCCCCCTGTTCTTCTAAGGAAGGTTTTACCAGTTCCATTGAGGGATATGCATAAAATGAATTGAAAAGTATAAATAAAAACTATGCAATCCAAGATAAATTCAAAAAATAATATGTAGCATACACCAATCCAAGATAAATTCAAAAAATAATATTTAGCATACACACGAGAGGGAGATCAAGAACAAATTTGTCTCCAACTATCAACGGAGTCTTGATTAGATCCCCGAATAAAAGAACTTCCAATTGGATCCCTCATTTATTGGACTTTACCCTATTATCCCCACATTAAATTTTTTTGTCCTGAAATCACAAAACAAAGTCTTTTTGCCCACAAATTTTAATAACGGGGGTTAATTAAATAATGTTTTATAGATGGGGTCCACTTGAGAATTATTTTTATTGTGGACTCAATCGAGAATCAAGTGATAATTGAGGGACAAATGCATCCCTTTCACACATAGATAGCTATGCTAGCAAGTATTTTCTCACCTCTCTTTGTTCTTCTCCTGCAAAGCTTGCATCAAGGCCACAGCAGGGTTGAAAAGGTAGTTGAACTGAGGCATCCCACGAAAAGTTATATTAATTTGAAAAAAAAATAAAAATTAAAGATAATACTCACCATAAATATGAAAAATAAAAAAATAAATGAAACAAACACCATCAAGATTCCAATTATTGAACCACCAGCTGTTTTTAGCATGCATGTCATGGGCACCAATATTGATCATTAAAAAAATAATATAATTAAGAAACGTGTTATGAATTAAACAATATTAAACTCTATATATTTTTTTAAAAAAAATAGACAAAGGATTTTGCATTTTACATTCGACGATACATTTCATTTAGGTAAATTGGTTTTACATTCGACGATACATTTCATTTAGCAAGCCTTGGCTTGCAGCGCAGTGATTAGTTATTGTTTGCACGACATAATCCGGCCTAATGATTGCCTTTTTAGCTTGCACTTCGTAAAGTCCATCATTAATTAGTCCCTGTAAATTAAAATTAATATTGAGAAATTACGAAATTAAATTACCCTAGCAGATGACAGGAAATAACCATTATGCCATCATTGATTTTGGAATTTAGAGTCTAGCAAGAATAATCCAAGGAAAGAAAAGTAGAGGATTCTCCTATTGACAAACCTGAAAGTAAAGGGAGTCTAACATCTATTGTAAAACAGCAGGGAATTCCCCAAATATATTTTTTTAATAATATTTTTAATTATTAAAAGTTTTTTGCTTTATTTTTTTCTTAATATAATGGTAAATTGATAAATGATGGGTTCAAAATCCAGGTCTCACTCTTCTCAATTTTGCAAGAACACCACTAAACTGAAAGCATATAACCCTACTAATACTTTGTTCCTGAAAAAAGAAAAGAGAATTTCTCGAACAAGGAACATTTCTTTGGTTAATCTTTGCATGAAGTCAAATTATTTTGTTAAAAAAATAACTTATCCCAAATTCCTATTATTGTAAATGCATCTTATCTATATTATATTGATAATAAATTTGGACCTGGTTTGGCTTCCGAAAATTAAAATTGGGTTTGATAAAATTAATGTGTTTAATTAGTGTTTGGCATTACTATTTAACTATACTTTAATGTGTTTAATTAGTGTTTGGCATTACAATTTAACTATACTTTTAAAAAAAAATTATTTTGTTAATTTTAAATTATTTTTTTATGTTTATGAATTTTTTTAATGTATTGATGCTAAAAATAAATTAAAAAGTTATTTTAATATATTTTCAAATGAAATTTGAAAAAAATATTTATCATGATCCTAAATAGACACATATTTTGATGTATGGTGTTTTTCAAAAGTATTTTTTGTTTGTAATATATTAAAATAATTTATATATATATATATGCATATTTTATTTTTAATATTAGCATATTAAAATAATATTAATTTAATATCTTTTCAAGTTAGATATATCCGAGTGAAATTACCACCATAAAAATAAATTATAAAAAATACTTAGAATTAAATTCTCTCGCTCTTTTTTGGAAGAGAAGTTAGATAAGAAAGCATTTAGAAGACTGCTATTTCCACACCGGATAGAAAACCGCTACGTTGATGATTTTTTCTTTTAAGCATCAAAAAGAATTTTCTGCCTCGTCATTTATTACTAGTCAATGGTCAATAGCTACCTTCCAAGATTTAGTTACTGGTGCAAAAAAATAATTTTTTACAATCTATTTAATATCTAATTAGAGAGAATTTTAGTCTAGCATGCGATCATATATAGTTGCCAGTAAAAAAATTAAAATCGGCTGTATTGATGGTTGACAAGCAGCCATTGAAAGAGTAAAAAACAAGATAACCACATTATTTACTCTACGAAAGTTATTTTGAAAGTATAATTATAAATATTAAGAAAATATGATAAAAAAAATCTTAAAAATACAAGTAGATTGTTAAATTAGTGAAACTTGATATTATTTTAAGATCATATTCCGACAGTCCATGTCCGTTTTCGAATTTTTTCTTGTTATATTTTTTTAACATTCAACATTTCTGCACTTGAAAATAAGCAAACAATTCTTGTTATTTTTTTTTATGTTATTACAATGTTACTTATAGTATATGTTATTTTTTTTTAGTTATTACAGTATATGTAGTTGGATTATCATTCTTTCTTTTATTAAAAATTGAACTAGGTTATGTACTACAGGGTTGGCGTACAATGATGCTAACTGGGCTGGAAGAAGCAAAGGGCAGCAAAAATTTTGAGGTATTTTAAAATATTAGTGTTGTTATTTTTTAAAATATTTTTTATTTAAAAATATATTAAAATAATACTTTTTTTATTTTT